ACTGGGCTAAAATGACACCTAACTGTGTCTGTAATGGCACCTTACTGGGCTGTATTGGCACACAACTGTGTCTGTAATGGTACCTTACTGTGCTGTAATTGACACCGAACTGTGTCTATAAGGACACCTTACTTGCTGTAATGACACCTAACTGTGTCTGTAATGGCACCTTACTGTGTCTGTAATGACACCTAACTGGGCTATTATGACACCTAACTGTGTTTGTAATGGCACCTACTGGGCTATAATGACACCTAACTGTGTTTGTAATGGCACCTTACTGGGCTGTAATGGCACCGAACTGTGTCTATAAGGACACCTTACTTGCTGTAATGACACCTGACTTGCTGTAATGACACTTGTGTCTGTAATGGCACCTTACTGGGCTGTAATGGTACCGAACTGTGTCTGTAGTGGTACCTTACTGTGCTATAATGACACCTAACTGTGTCTGTAATGGCACCTTACTGGGCTGTAATGGCACCTTACTGGGCTGTAATGGCACCGAACTGTGTCTGTAATGGTACCTTACTGTGCTGTAATTGACTCCTAAATGTGTCTATAAGGACACCTTACTTGCTGTAATGACACCTTACTGTGTCTGTAAGGACACCTTACTTGCTGTAATGACATCTTACTGTGTCTGTAATGGCACCTTACTGGGCTGTAATGACACCTAAACTGTGTCTGTAATGGCACCTTACTGTGTCTGTAATGGTACTTTACTGTGCTGTAATTGACACCGGTGTCTATAAGGACACCTTACTTGGGCTGTAATGACACCTAACTGTGTCTGTAATGGCACCTTACTGTGCTGTAATGACACCTAACTGTATCTGTAATGGCACCTTACTGTGTCAGTAATGGTACTTTACTGTGCTGTAATTGACACTTAACTGTGTCTATAAGGACACCTTACTGGGCTATAATGACACCTAACTGTGTTTGTAATGGCACCTTACTGGGCTGTAATGGAACTGAACTGTGTCTGTAATAGCGCCTTACTGGGCTGTAATGGCACCGAACTGTGTCTGTAATGGTACCTTACTGTGCTATAATGACACCTAACTGTGTCTGTAATGACACCTTACTGGGCTGTTATGACACCTAACTGTGTCTGTAATGGCACCTTACTGGGCTGCAATGACACCTTACTGTGTCTGTAATGACACCTTACTGGGCTGTAATTGACACCTAACTGTCTATCAGGACACCTTACTGGGCTGTAATGACACCTTACTGGGCTGCAATGACACCTTACTGTGTCTGTAATGGCACCTTACTGGGCTGCAATGACACCTTACTGTGTCTGTAATGACACCTTACTGGGCTGTAATGACACCTAACTGTGTCTGTAATGGCACCTTACTGGGCTGCAATGACACCTTACTGTGTCTGTAATGGCACCTTACTGGGCTGTTATGACACCTAACTGTGTCTGTAATGGCACCTTACTGGGCTGCAATGACACCTAACTGTGTCTGTAATGGCACCTTACTGGGCTGCAATGACACCTTACTGTGTCTGTAATGGCACCTTACTGGGCTGCAATGACACCTATCTGTGTCTGTAATGGCACCTTACTGGGCTGCAATGACACCTAACTGTGTCTGTAATGGTACCTTACTGGGCTGTTATGACACCTTACTGTGTCTGTAATGGCACCTTACTGGGCTGCAATGACACCTTACTGTGTCTGTAATGGCACCTTACTGGGCTGTTATGACACCTAACTGTGTCTGTAATGGTACCTTACTGTGCTGTAATTGACACCGAACTGTGTCTATAAGGACACCTTACTTGCTGTAATGACACTTTACTGTGTCTGTAATTGGCCCCTTACTGTGCTGTAATGACACCTTACTGTGTCTGTAATGGCACCTTACTGTGCTGTAATGACACCTTACTGTGTCTGTAATGGCACCTA